GGACACAGAGAGAGAGAGAGAGAGAGTTCTTCTTCTTCCTCCTCTATGTCCACCGTCTCTTCTTCCCCTCTCCCCACCTGACTTCTCAGTATCAGCAGGTTACTACCGAGAGAGAGAGAGTTGTGACTTGAGACTTGACGACATTGGATCCAGACTCGACCTTTGGGATTCAGACATTTCGACGAGGGACTATTGGGGCCTGTGCTGAACACTTGGTGTTGACGACATTCCCATCTTCCCCTCTTCTTCGTCTAACCCCCCATCTCCTTCGTCTGTGTATGTTTGGGGCTGGCGCAGTCTTCCTGTGTGAAACGCCAGACCCCTTCACACCATGGGATGAGGATGATGATGTATGTTTGGGGCTGCATTGCAATATTGATTGTTCGGATCATTGGTATCTAAGTCTTCCGCTGTGCTATTTTATACTTTGTATTGAAAGGTCGGTTCTTGTTCTGGTCTGCACCTATACAGTATGCAACATCTGAGCAGGCCCTACAGATATCAGAGCAGTTTGGATCGTTTCTGCTTCTCCTGGCGTGCAACCACTGATTGACCGGCAGGGCAGTATATGCTATAAGCCACTGCATCCTTCTCATTTTGATCTGAAACGGTATTCACCTGTTCGCAGTAGCGAATGCAGATCCCAGGGCTCGATCCCTAGACTTTACCTTACCTGTGTACATTACCTGTGTCGACCCCAGGAGTTGAGCCCACGACCTGTGTCTGTTCCCACAGTTGATAGACTGTCGTAGGGTCTGTAGATTGTAGGGGTTCGATCTGTAGACCTATAGAATAGTGGCCTTAGGCAGTCCTAGAAGTCGTAGTTGTAGGACCTCTGAAGAGTCAAGGTCGCAGCTCCTACAGTCCTGAAAGGTCAAGGTCGTAGCTGCTACAGTATCCGAAAGGCCAGGACAGATACTTCCGGAAGGTCCTAGTATTGGCCTTTCAAAGCTGCTCACGTTTAGGCTGAGGCAAGTGGGCAAGTGGTGGAGTCTACCCATGCTGAGTCAGCAGTCCCAGTCCCAGTCAGTCCTAGTCCAGTCAAGCAAGTACCGCATTGGACTGTGCGGGCATGGGAAAGGGCCAGACCAACGAGCTACAGAAGTATAAATTAAGAGGCAGCGCCCAACCATTCATTCATTCCTGCGTAAGCCATGCGGAAGCGCTGCCACAGCGACTTGTGCGAGGTGGTCTGCAGTGTGCCAGAAGACGAAGTGGGCGAGAAGGAGAGCTTAGCCATAGCAATAGAGGTAGCAGCGTCCATAGCTGCCATAGCTAGGAGTAGTGTGTACTGTGCGCGTGCGTGTGTACAGTGAGTTGCATGTGGGATATTCAGGGTGATCTTGTGTGTGTGAACAGCAGAGTTGGGTTGGCGACGAACAGAGAGTTGTACAGGTGCTGATGCGCCATAGCCGTTTGAAGTGAGCCTGTATCTGAACTGCGTTCTTGGTTACCATAATCTCGGAGCTCTGAGTGGGCACTTGTCGCCAGTTTGCTGCGCTACCTGTTTACATGCATGTGAGTTGTGAAAGAAAGCGAGTCTGATTGCAATTGGTATCGGAGCCGGTACCCGCTATTCCATGCGCCATCGCCGTTCAGGAGAAGTCCGCCATAGCTGACCAGCGGAAGAAGAAGGACGCCACGCGTACCTGCAAGAAGACAACGGCGAGAGAGAGAGAGAGAGAGAGAGAGAGAGAGAGAGAGAGAGAGAGAGAGAGAGAGAGAGAGAGAGAGA